ACAGCCGACATCACTGAATAAATTTTGATAAAACTTCCAGTTTTTGGAAAGATCTTGGGTTTGAAAAAAACACAAAGCACAAACTTTCCGACAAGCTAATAGATACAAATGGGCCACTGCTCATTTTTTAAGGTTTCCAAATAAAGGTTGTGCAGAAGTAACTTTATTCAATGTTATAGGAAATTATTTTGTCTGTTATGACTCTTTCAAAAATTACACCGGCTTATACAACGTTGCACACTAACTGTTCTTTATTGTTGCAAAGGCAAAAAAATGCAAATGTTGAGGAGAGCGGTTGGTCCAAAAAGTTTGGGTTTAGAATTTTGCCTGATGATAACTTTGCATAAAATGCAGACTGATATCACTGATGATATTTTAAAAATATTATAAATGATGGAGTCCAACTGTATGTGCTATACTACGGAAGAATTATGACACCCTTTTTTTGTTATAGTATTAGTACTGATATCAGTGAATGCTGGTAGACATCCAAGGAACGTAAGCTGCGTGCAATATAGTCCGACGTTTTCACAGATAGGTACCCATAAAGCTTAAACCCTCTGACTGTATACCGCACATAGCAGGTGATGTGAAGCAATGCTACCCCAACTCGTCGTCTCTCACAACTTCCGATGCGGGGCTGTATACAGCCACTTACAGTATCCTAGCAAAGCATTCACAAATTTATTAAACGAATGTATCACTTCTTCCAAATACTCATAGTGGAGGAAAGATTCATATCATTGCTTTAGGCTACAGCATCTACACTCGTTCACATGCCTATCTTAATTGTACAAAATTCAGTTCCATGGTTTCTTAGCAAAGATCTCAACAGAATACTTTTCTATATTGTTTTTTTTTTTTGAGGTAGGAAACTGTTTTTCGTTCCCCTTCTTCCCATAGGGGACAAGTGTTTCATTTCTACGCGTAATTGCATAATATACCTATTCTTTTTGAAAAGAGTATTTCGATGTTTTTGTAGTTTTTTTAATATGATACACAACTTATTTTAATATTTATTAGAACCGCGAAATGAACAAATTACATGAAGGCATGGCCCTTGGGGGGATATAAACAGTCTGCTACCCCTCTACTTGCATTCCAAACTTTGAGGTGAATCCTGCAAGAGTAAGGATGGATTTCACCAAGATCTGAGCTGTTAATTTCTTAGATCAGAATGACCGATGTAACTCTTAACAACAGGAATTTAGAGGACAAATCTTGCAGTGTAGACTTTAAAAAGCAGTACATTGATGTAAACATTTCAGGTAAGATGTGGATCAATAGTTGCTAAAATGCACGTAGAGCTATTTCTCTGTCCTGGAATTCATCAACCTTGCATTGAATTTGAAGGTTAGTGTTAATCTTCGAAACTGTTATAATCGATTCTATGGCCATTGGACAAGTGAAGAGGTTTTACAATTAGCTGTAAATTTTGAATGTTCCTCGAAAATTTCTTCTATAATTAGGCGAAATGATAAGTCCGAAGGAATTTACTGTTCGTGCCAACAAGGATAAACAGAAGGACTGGAAAGGCAGCATACGAATAGGAAAGTCGAATCTGAGGCAAGCATTAGTTCATAGAAAAGCCTTGCTAGAATCATAAAGGATGATTGTTTCTATCTCCTAGATATTCATATCGTGTTTCTTCGCTACGGTAAAATTTTGATCCCAACATAGTGTAATTTTTATTATTCGTATAACTTTATCTGGTCGCCAAAATTACAATCTTTCATAGCTCTTACAATGTACTCCCACTTAGGTCTCTCATGGAAATGCATTCATTCGACTTTTTCAACCACTCTCAGTTTTGCTCAGCAAAATGTCAAAGTAGGAACTACATCACACCCAAGGAAAAGGAGAGCGACAAAGAGAGGAGGTATGCAATCTAGAGTTGTGCTTGACAATTATAGAGACTCCGCAAAATAGGTTTGAGGTACAAGTTAGCTGATGTTAGCCTTCAGCCTAAACTTGTGTGTTCCGCATACACTACGTGCATAGCCGCAAATTTACAAAATTGGAAATATGTTTCTAGACTATTTGATAGACTAATTTTAAATCATGTTCATTATACACGTAACATAGTAAGTTGAAGTTGGTTTTGCTGAACGCTCTAAGGAACATCTGGATAAACCTGCTGGAAAGATCTTTGTACGAGCAGTTTGACTTCAAACTGCATGCTGTGCAATACCCCATAAA